TCCCTAATGGTTGGTCGTTTTTAGATGGGGTTAACTTGCTGTTTCCCTAATGGTTGGTAGTTTTAGATGGGGTTAACTTGCTGTTCCCTAATGGTTGGTCGTTTTAGATGGGTTAACTTGCTGCTCCCCAATGGTTGGTAGTTTTAGATGGGGTTAACTTGCTGTTCCCTAATGGTTGGTAGTTTTAGATGGGGTTAACTTGCTGTTCCCTAATGGTTGGTAGTTTTAGATGGGGTTAACTTGCTTTTCCCTAATGGTTGGTAGTTTTAGATGGGGTTAACTTGCTGTTCCCTAATGGTTGGTCGTTTTAGATGGGGTTAACTTGCTGTTCCCTAATGGTTTGGTCGTTTTAGATGGGGTTAACTTGCTGTTCCCTAATGGTTGGTGTTTTAGATGGGGTTAACTTGCTGTTTCCCTAATGTGGTTTTGGGTAAGTTTTGTCTAATGGATTGGGGTTTAACTTGCTGTTCCCTAATGGTTGGTAGTTTTAGATGGGGTTAACTTGCTGTTCCCTAATGGTTGGTAGTTTTAGATGGGGTTAACATGCTGTTCCCTAATGGTTGGTAGTTTTAGCCACAGCGTGGCACCCCCCCCCCCGGTACACTCAGTCACACCCCAAAGTTAGGGGAGGACCAGAGTTTGGTCAACATATTTAGGATGTCTTTTTGGATCCAGTAAAAATATGGCTGCTGTCAAAGCGAGGTGGATAACAAGACTTCCAAAAACAGCTTTACAGCCAGAGCTCCTGACTGGCTAACTAACTACCGTAGAAAGGCTGTCTATGACTGGCTAACTAACTACTGTAGAAAGGCTGTCTATGACTGGCTAACTACTACTGTAGAAAGGCTGTCTATGACTGGCTAACTAACTACTGTAGAAAGGCTGTCTATGACTGGCTAACTAACTACCGTAGAAAGGCTGTCTATGACTGGCTAACTAGCTACTGTAGAAAGGCTGTCTATGACTGGCTAACTAGCTACTGTAGAAAGGCTGTCTATGACTGGCTAACTAGCTACTGTAGAAAGGCTGTCTATGACTGGCTAACTAGCTACTGTAGAAAGGCTGTCTATGACTGGCTAACTAACTACCGTAGAAAGGCTGTCTATGACTGGCTAACTAGCTACCTGTAGAAAGTCTGTCTATGACTGGGCTAACTAACTACTGTAGAAAGGCTGTCTATGACTGGCTAACTAGCTACTGTAGAAAGGCATGACTGAATACTGGTAACTAACTGCAACTACCGTAGAAAGGCTGTCTATGACTGGCTAACTACTACGTAGAAAGGCTGTCATGACTGGCTAACTAGCTACTGTAGAAAGGCTGCTATGACTGGCTAACTAACTACCGTAGAAAGGCTGTCTATGACTGGCTAACTAACTACCGTAGAAAGGCTGTCTATGACTGGCTAACTAGCTACTGTAGAAAGGCTGTCTATGACTGGCTAACTAACTACTGTAGAAAGGCTGTCTATGACTGGCTAACTAGCTACTGTAGAAAGGCTGCCTATGACTGGCTAACTAACTACCGTAGAAAGGCTGTCTATGACTGGCTAACTAGCTACTGTAGAAAGGCTGTCTATGACTGGCTAACTAACTACTGTAGAAAGGCTGTCTATGACTGGCTAACTAACTACCGTAGAAAGGCTGTCTATGACTGGCTAACTAGCTACTGTAGAAAGGCTGCCTATGACTGGCTAACTAACTACCGTAGAAAGGCTGTCTATGACTGGCTAACTACTACCGTAAAAGGCTGTCTATGACTGGCTAACTACTACTGTAGAAAGGCTGTCTATGACTGGCTAACTAACTACTGTAGAAAGGCTGCTATGACTGGCTAACTAACTACAGTAGAAAGGCTGTCCATGACTGGCTAACTAGCTACTGTAGAAAGGCTGTCCATGACTGGCTAACTAGCTACTGTAGAAAGGCTGCCTATGACTGGCTAACTAACTACAGTAGAAAGGCTGTCCATGACTGGCTAACTAGCTACTGTAGAAAGGCTGTCTATGACTGGCTAACTAGCTACTGTAGAAAGGCTGTCTATGACTGGCTAACTAGCTACTGTAGAAAGGCTGTCTATGACTGGCTAACTAACTACCGTAGAAAGGCTGTCCATGACTGGCTAACTAGCTACTGTAGAAAGGCTGTCTATGACTGGCTAACTAGCTACCGTAGAAAGGCTGTCTATGACTGGCTAACTAGCTACTGTAGAAAGGCTGTCTATGACTGGGCTAACTAGCTACTGTAGAAAGGCTGTCTATGACTCCCTGCAGCCTGAACTAGACTGTAGAAAGCCTAACCAACACACCAGCTGAGTGTCTACATCCCAGCTAACTGCTCTTAGAAAGATCCTTTCTTCCTAACAAGGGAAGAGTCAGATAGTGTTATTCTGACCACAGAGATCCTATTAAATGACTATGATGGTAACTATATGTAAACGGTCTGTCTACTGACAGGAACAGTACCTAAAGGCATCTAACGGCACTGTCGTGAGGTGTTGTGCTGTCGTACTCTGTGTGAGGTGTCGTGTGTGTGCTGTGTTGTGATGTGCTGTGTGTATGTGGTATCTGACACTAACTGACCTGTGAAAGTTCCTTGACCATGCACGACTAACTGTTGACCCTGACCCCCAGGCCGTGTCTTGCTCTGCTCAGAAAACACTACTTTACAGGAAGGGCAGATATGGGTATCTCCGACTCACTAGCAGTCCAAGGCCTTCCTTCTTCGTTTGTTGATGGTCTTGTAGGGAATTACATTAAACTTCCAACTTGCACTAGTGTGGAAGGGTATTGTTTTGTGTGGTCGTGTCTTGACTTGTGGTTGAAACATCTCCCCGTTAGAACGGATGTCGCTGTGGATCTACAGATGACTATCTTAATTTGACCAGTTCTTCACCACAGCTGAATATCCTGCAGCAACAGAAAGTGAATTATTAGTGGATCATAATAAGGCATTTCTTGTATTGGTTGAGTACTTTTTTCATGGGCAAATGAAACTCAAGTGCAAATTACAAGGTAGTTTCGAAGTCCTTTTAACCTTGTGATTACAATACAATCTGCCTTTCCTGCTGTCAGGATGGATCAACTAAGATACTGCATCTGTAATGATCCTACTGATCACATCTACTGAAGTGTGAGAAATGAACGGACAACCATACCAAAGGTAATACCCATTTGGATTATATCCAACTTTCCCCCTGAATCTGTATAATTATGTTCAGTAGCAAAGAAATATTAATTCATTTTGAAGATTTGAAACTTGATACACACAAGCATGGCACCGCTTGCAGGAGGACAAACTAGAATACGGCATCTGTAATGATCTACTGACACATCTACTGAGAGTGTGAGAAATGAAAGGAACAACCCATACCAAGGGAACAACCCATTGGATTTATCCCAACTTGCCCTCCTGAATTCTGTATAATATGTATCGTAGCAAAGGATTTATTTAATTCATTTTGTAAGATTGAAGACGTTGATTCATCACCATCAGAAGAACATGGCACAGCCTTTGTTAGAGAGGGAAAGACTGAGAAAATACCCTCCCAAATAGCTCCACCAGCCTCCCTCCTCCAGCAGCCCTGGCCTCCCTCCTCCAGCTCAACCCCCTCCTCCAGCTCACCCCCCTTCCCACCCTCTCTCTACTTCCTTTTCCCGGTCATTCTCTCTCTCTACCTCTCTCTCTCTCTCTCTCTCTCTCTCCTCTCTCTCTTCCCCCTCTTCCCTCTCTCTCTCTCTCTTTGTTTCTCTCCCTCAAATTTTCCCTTGTCCTTTGCCTCTCTCTTACCCTCTCTGCACGTGTGGACATAAACAGTCCATATCATACCAGCTTGGTTCCGACGTTTGTGCTTTCGTCTGCTATCCTGTTACATACGCATGCCTTTGTACTAGTCGTTACAGTGGTAAAGGCGCATCCAGTACCTAGCTGCCAGTGTGTTTCTCGACTGTATCCGTGTGTTATTCATACTGTATCAGTGTGTATATTCAGTACTGATGCCAGTGTGTTTCTCTACTTATGCCAGTGTGTATATCTCATACTGATGCCATGCTCGTCAGATGTGTATACCTCAGTACGTATCCGTTGATACTCAGTACTGTATGCCAGTGTGTATATCTCAGTACTGTCATGCCATGTGTATACTCATCTGTACATGTGATACTCTCTACTGTCTGCCATGTGTATATCTCGTACTGTTCCGTGTTATATCTCATACTGTCCAGTGTTATTCTCAGTACTGCTCTATCCAGTGTGTAATCTAGACATACCATATCTCACTACTGCAATGCCGTGTGTATACCACAGTACTGTATGCCAGTTGTGTATATCTCAGTACTGTATCCAGTGTGTACTATCTCAGTCTGTATGCCAGTGTGTATAATCTCCATACTGATGCCAGTGTGTATATCTCAGTACTGTATGACCAGTGTGTATATCTCAGTACTGTATGCCAGTGTGTATATCTCAGTACTGTATGACCAGTGTGTATATCTCAGTACTGTATGCCAGTGTGTATATCTCAGTACTGTATACCAGTGTGTATATCTCAGTACTGTACCATGTACTCAGTACTGTATCCCAGTGTGTATATCTCAGTACTGTATGCCAGTGTGTATATCTCAGTACTGTATGCCAGTGTGTATATCTCAGTACTGTATGCCAGTGTGTATATCTCAGTACTGTATACCAGTGTGTATATCTCAGTACTGTATGCCAGTGTGTATATCTCAGTACTGTTACCAGTGTGTTCCAGTGTGTATATCTCAGTACTGTATGCCAGTGTGTTATTCTCAGTACTGTATCCAGTGTGTATATCTCAGTACTGTATGCCATTGTATATCTCAGTACTGTATGCCAGTGTGTATATCTCAGTACTGTATCAGTGTGTATATCTCAGTACTGAAATAGCCAGTGTGTAATCTCAGTACTGTATGCCAGTGACTGTAGTATACTCAGTACGTGTATATCTCATACTGTATGCCAGTGTGTATATCTCAGTACTGTATCCAGTGTGTATATCTCAGTACTGTATGCCAGTGTGTATATCTCAGTACTGTATGCCAGTGTGTATATCTCAGTACTGACTGTGTATATCTCAGTACTGTATGCCAGTGTGTATATCTCAGTACTGTATGCCAGTGTGTATATCTCAGTACTGTATGCCAGTGTGTATATCTCAGTACTGTAATGGCCAGTGTGTATATCTCAGTACTGTATGCCATGTGTATCTCAGTAAACTGTAGGGCCAGTGTGTATATCTCATACTGTATCCATGTGTATATCTCAGTACTGTAATGTGATCTCAGTGTACGTGTATATCTCAGTACTGTATGCCAGTGTGTATATCTCAGTACTGTATGCCAGTGTGTATATCTCAGTACTGTATACCATGTGTATATCTCGTACGTATGCCAGTGTGTATATCTCATTAACTGTATGCCAGTGTGTATATCTCAGTACTGTATGCCAGTGTGTATATCTCAGTACTGTATGCCAGTGTGTATATCTCAGTACTGTATGCCAGTGTGTATATCTCAGTACTGTATGCCAGTGTGTATATCTCAGTACTGTATGCCAGTGTGTATATCTCAGTACTGTATAGCCAGTGTGTATATCTCAGTACTGTATGCCAGTGTGTATATCTCAGTACTGTATATCTCAGTACTGTATGCCAGTGTGTATATCTCAGTACTGTATGCCAGTGTGTATATCTCAGTACTGTATGCCAGTGTGTATATCTCAGTACTGTATGCCAGTGTGTATATCTCAGTACTGTATGCCAGTGTGTATATCTCAGTACTGTATATCTCAGTACTGTATGCCAGTGTGTATATCTCAGTACTGTATGCCAGTGTGTTATTGTTTCTCAGTACTGTATGCCAGTGTGTATATCTCAGTACTGTATGCCAGTGTGTATTCTCAAGTACCAGTGTGTATATCTCAGTACTGTATGCCAGTGTGTATATCTCAGTACTGTATGCCAGTGTATATCTCAGTACTGTATGCCAGTGTGTATATCTCAGAAACTGTATGCCAGTGTGTATATCTCAGTACTGTATCCAGTGTGTATACCCTCCCAGTTTAAGCTGTATGCCAGTGTGTATATCTCATACTGTATGCGTGTATATCTCAGTACTGTATGCCAGTGGGGTATATCTCAGTACTGTAATCCAGTGTGTCATGAATCTCAGTACTGTATGCCAGTGTGTATATCTCAGTACTGTATGCCAGTGTGTATATCTCAGTACTGTATGCCAGTGTGTATATCTCAGTACTGTAACCGTTGTATATCTCATACTGTATCCGTGTGTATATCTCAGTACTGTATATCTCAGTACTGTATGCCAGTGTGTATATCTCAGTACTGTATACCAGTGTGTATATCTCAGTACTGTATACCAGTGTGTATATCTCAGTACTGTATGCCAGTGTGTATATCTCAGTACTGTATGCCAGTGTGTATATCTCAGTACTGTATACCAGTGTGTATATCTCAGTACTGTATATCTCAGTACTGTATGCCAGTGTGTATATCTCAGTACTGTATGCCAGTGTGTATATCTCAGTACTGTATACCAGTGTGTATATCTCAGTACTGTATGCCAGTGTGTATATCTCAGTACTGTATATCTCAGTACTGTATACCAGTGTGTATATCTCAGTACTGTATATCTCTATTTAGTGTATATCTCAGTACTGTATATTTTCTCAGTACTGTATACCAGTGTGTATATCTCAGTACTGTATACCAGTGTGTATATCTCAGTACTGTATGCTAGTGTGTATATCTCAGTACTGTATATCTCAGTACTGTATACCAGTGTGTATATCTCAGTACTGTATGCCAGTGTGTATATCTCAGTACTGTATGCTAGTGGTGTATTTTCTCAGTATGTACTGTATACCAGTGTGTATAGTACTCCAGTACTGTATATCATTCAGTACTGTATGCCAGTGTGTATATCTCAGTACTGTATGCCAGTGTGTAGGCCCACTCCTAATACTGCTCCTCTAAAGCAGCAGGTGAGCGACTGTCTAAATGATCTCCTGCGTTGTATATACCAGTCTGTAGAACTCTACCATAACCTTCCATAACCCCATGATGTACTTTACGCCAGTATCCTGTAGATCTCCCTCCTCCTCCTCCTCTTAGACTTCTGGAGCAACAGGTGAGAGGAGAGCCTCAGACAGACAGACAGCCCCAAACGGGCCCGGGCCCTGCAGTCCTTTAAACCCCGGGGCAGATGGAATGCGCTCAATTAAACAAAAAACCTCAGAGGGGTTCGGGCATAAAAGAGCACCCCCCAAAAAGCGTTGCCCAGATAAATTTTCCACGGCTAGGGGAAAACCGGAGGAAGGGGCGAGACGGACCTGGGAAACCAACCCCGGGTATTCAAAAGAAACCAATGCCTTTTTTTTTCCTCAGAGAAGGAGGGGCCGATATGGGAAACATTTTGGGCCCTTTTAGAAAATAATAAAAAAAATGATATGAACATGGGGACCTGATCCTAGATCAACACTCCTACTCTCTGAAAAAGGAAGGCCCAGCCTAGAAGTATGGGAACAGAGAAAAAAACCCAGAAAAGACAGAAAAGAGAGCCCAGAAAAGAGAGAGAGAGAGAGGAAAAAGCCCAAAGAGAAGAAGAGAGGGAGGGGAAAAAAAAGGGGAAAAGAAAAAAAACCGCCCCAAGAACAGAGACAGAAAAAAGGGGAGAGGGAGGACAAAAGCCCGAGATAGAGAGAGACAGAGAAAAATAAAAAAAAAAAAAGGAAAAAAAGGGGAAAGAAAAAAAGAAAAAAGTAAAAGGGGGAAAAAAAGGGAAGCCCCTTTTAAAAAACCCCCAAAGGGAGACCAAAAAAAGGAAAAGGAAAAAAAAAGACCCGGGAGGAACCAGAAAATAGAGAAAAGAGAGGAGGGAAGAGAGGGGAGAGGGTTTTGAGAATGGGAGAGAGAGAGAGGGGGGGGGGAGGAGAAAAAGAAGAAAAGCCCCTAAGAGCCGGGGGGTTTGACATCCCAATTTAAACCCTTTAAAATCTTTACTGGGGGGGGAACGAGGGAGAGGTGAGATTTTGGGGAAAAAGGGAGAGGTAAATTTTAAATTTGTTTTCTCGGGGCGGGGAAAAAATTTTAAAACGGGAGGGAAGGGGGTAATTTTCGTCTCTCCTCTCTATATTCTTCAAACTCAACACATAATCATCTTACCCAACCCCCCACGCTTGCTTTGTTCACACAAACCCCTCCCCTAGCCAACCTCCAGTTCAAAACAAAGCCCCTCCCCCCTACCCAACCTCCCTGTTAAACCAAAGCCCCCCCCCCCCCAAAGCCTCCCACATTTTTTAACACAAACCCCCTCCCCCTAGCCTACCTACTTTTACACAAAGCCCCTCCCCCTAGCCTCCTCCCTGTTCCAAAAAACCCCCCCCCCCTCCCCCTACCTAAAACAGGGTTACACAAAACCCCCTCCCCCAAAGCCTACCACATTTTCCGAAAAAAGGCCCCCCTCCCCCTACACCAAATGTTAACACAAAAAACCCCCCCCCTACCCCAACCACATTTCCAAAAAAACCCCCTCCCCCTACCTCCCTCCCTTTTTTTCACACAAGCCCCTCCCCCTAGCCCTACCTACTTTTTTAAAAAACCAAAGCCCCCCCCCCCCTAGCCTACCTAATGTTCACAAAAAGCCCCCCCCCCCTTCCCAAACCACATGTTCACAAAAGCCCCTCCCCAAAGCAACCTACATGTTAACACAAAGCCCCTCCCCCTAGCCAAAACCTAAAAAATTTTTCACCCCAAAGCCCCCCCCCTAGCCTACCTACATTTTTCACCCCAACCCCTCCCCCTACCCCTACCTACTTTTCAAAAAAAATAAAGCCCCCCCCCCTAGCCTACCCAAATTTTCCCCAAACCCCCTCCCCCTAGCCTCCCTCCCCTTTTTCCCCAAAGCCCCCCCCAAAACCACCACATTTTTTCCAAAACAAAGCCCCCCCCCTAAACCTCCCTACATGAAAAAAAAAAAAGCCCCCCCCCCCTAGCCTACCAAATTTTCCCCACAAAGCCCCTCCCCGGGGCCACCTACATTTTTTAACAAAAAAACCCCCCCCTGCCTACCTAATTTTTAAACAAAAAGCCCCCCCCTCCTACCTACTTTTAAACCAACAAGCCCCTCCCCCTAGCCTACCTACAGGTTCCACAAAGCCCCCCCCTAGCCCCCCTCTGTTAACAAAAAAACCCCTCCCCCTAGCCAACCTACATGTTAACACAAAGCCCCTCCCCCTAGCCTACCTACATGTTAACACAAAGCCCCTCCCCCTAGCCTACCTACATGTTCACACAAAGCCCCTCCCCCTAGCCTACCTACATGTTGACACAAAGCCCCTCCCCCTAGCCAACCTACATGTTCACACAAAGCCCCTCCCCCTAGCCTACCTACATGTTGACACAAAGCCCCTCCCCCTAGCCTACCTACATGTTAACACAAAGCCCCCTCCCCCTAGCCTACCTACATGTTGACCACAAAGCCCCTCCCCCTAGCTACCTACATGTTGACACAAAGCCCCTCCCCCTAGCCTACCTACATGTTGACACAAAGCCCCTCCCCCTAGCCTACCTACATGTTGACACAAAGCCCCTCCCCCTAGCCTACCTACATTACTGCCTACCTGGAAAACAGAAATGCAGAAAACTGTCAACTAAATGTCAACCCTTTCCCCTCTGCCTGTTTACCTGATTCCTCCCTCACATCGTTTCACCACCATTCAGTTCCTCCTCCCTCACATCGTTTCACCACCATTCAGTTCCTCCCCCCTCACATCGTTTCACCACCATTCAGTTCCTCCCCCCTCACATCGTTTCACCACCATTCAGTTCCCCAGCTGCTGACTTCCTTACGCTGGTCCTCCTATCGGGTTTTAAAGTGAAACTAAGAAAACAACCATATCAAACTCTGAGCATAAATCCAGTCAAGGTCACAGTTTCCCTTTTTCTGTCTCCGTAGAGAACC